GTGCTGCTGTTGGTGACGATGGAGTAGGGTGTGCCAGTCAGTGTGTTGGGGTTGTGATGTGGAACCATGTTGGTGCAGGAAGATGATGGAGCTCCACCAGGGTAGCCCTGAGTTCTGTGCAGACCCACCAACCCCACCATCCACACAGCCAGCAGCGCCTCCATCATTCGCAGAGAGAGAGACGAGGCCACGGCGTTTAAGTTGACGACAAATGTTGGTGATCAGTATTAATTTATTTCGGATGGCAAAGCTAAAATAACTTTAAACACAGATAAAAAAAAAACTCTTGCGAAAGTTTGAAAATATAAGCCGGCGAAGGTTAACAACACAAAAAAGGCTAAAAATTAGTTGGCAATTCAAGCGGAGGGTGGAGCAGCGTAGACGTCAGGGCTTCTTATAGTAGAGAGATGGGGGGGTAGGGCGGGGGGGGGGCACACAACGGGGGGTCAGACAAACACAGGGACCACATTGGTCACCGGGGTGGATTTGGCTCGAGGGCACCCACGACGATTGGGAGACATTGTGCAATGCCGCACAATGTTGCGCCAAAATTTCTGAATTCTTCTGCAGGGCGAGGTGTGGCGGTCTTATCTCTTCATTGTTGGAGGGACGCTCTCCCCCTCCCCCCATCGTAGCGCTGTCCCGCGGGGACTCGGAGTGAACGTCGCTTACCCTGAATGACCCCCCCCTCCCTCCGAGCGAGAGGACGATCGTGGCAGTGCGGGGTTGGTCAGAGGACCGCATTGGTTGTGAATTTGGTTGCGCGTAACTGTCGGGGGAGCGGGGTTGGAGCGGGGGGGGGGAGGGGGTCTGGGGGAGGGGGCAGAGCCAGAGGTAAGGCTCCTCCTAGACACCCACCCACGGGTAGAAGGGAGTGAGATGGAACAGATGGAGATTAGTCCACACACTTTGCTGCTGTACCGCCTTCTACCTGGCAGTGCCAAGGGTACGGCTCATCCTCGGCGCCCACCCACTGCTGCCCCAACACAGCAATCACGGGCAGCGTAGCAACCACCGCTCGGAATATTATGAATAATATTTGCATTGTCCTTGTACTCTTCACTTTTTGGCGTTGTCTTTTGGTCTAACACTGGGCGCCGCAGTGGCGAGGAGATGTTAACCACCTCTACCGGTGTACAGGAGGTAGTGGGTTCGATCCCGACCCTGACGCTTGCTGTATATTTGGAGTTTTCGGTGTTTCTCTTCTCCCCGTGGTGGCGCTGATTTTTCTCCAGGTCCTCCGGTTTTTCGCTCCACATTTAAAATCACGCGTTTAGGGTATTTGCCTGCTGCTAAAAATCTCCACGTAATGATGATATCAGCCACTTCGTCGGGCTACCACTTGTGATGGTCAGGTCGCTTCTGAAAAAGAGCTACATCGCAGCTCAGTGGGCCTGACCTGGTAAGAGAAAAATTGTTTGGTAATTTTTTTAAAATAGTTTAGTCAAGGAAATAAAGGAGGCTGGCTGTAACTGTGGTGTAGGCCAATCAGTTTGAAAGAAAATGCATACATTATTATTTTTTATTATCAAGCAAGTTTGTTTGCATGTTTTACCACAATCATGACCTTAATGCAGACACGACGGTGCCTAGCGATAATCTATTGGTTGTTTTAACATCTTAACACAACTCCTGTAGTAGTTAATGCCCAGAACGGTAATGAAGCCTATTCTTCTGTTTCGTTCATCATTACGAATGTAATTGGGTCCAACGTTCCTGCAACGTCCAAACCAAATAAATATGTTGCTCCGGTTAATCTGAAATCCACGTGACTACCTCTATAGTACAGTAGTTGCATATCTTTACGACAGTGGGTGGAGTTTGATTGATGCTGATTGTCTGTGGCTCTGCTATCATCCAATTAGTGAGCTGAGTCTTCTGCTGGGCGGGAGCCAGAAAGTTATCACTGAGCATTAACAAAATCAACTTTCTTTACTTAATTTAAACCTATTTATTAGTTGTTTTTGGTATAGAGATCCACGGAAAATGGATGTTTGGATTATCCGTGATTTAGATTTATCTGTGGCCGCCATCCCTGTCATAAGCGTGGATAATCGATAATCTACTGCATATGTATCTCTCTATATCCCTATGAGTCCCTATGCAAATCTATGTATCTCTATGGGTCTTCATGGCATTTTGGTAATGACCCAGGGCCACGCTTGCGAATGAGACTCCTACCCTGGTCTCCTGAGTTTTGACCTGATCACACAGAATCAACTCCGGAACGATGTAATCTCTCTGCACTTGTGCGTGTATTATATTGGTCTTTATTGTAGTATCTGTGTATCTAACTCACAGCATCGTGAAAAGCAAAACAATACAACGACAATAATCATTAAAAGGCACACAGGAGTTCAACAGCCAAGTAGTTTGTGAAGGATTGGACGCTTACAGTTAGCAGGTGAAAGTAAAACTCCAAGAGAGCGAACGTGTTATGGGTTGTTTAAACTCGAGTTAAATATTCAATATTACGGCAACATTCAAGCTTAAAAATATATGGCCTATTACGACTTAATATTATATACTCATGGTCGTTTACCCATTAGAGTCTCGCCGAGTCTCAAGGGCTCGTTGGGCAGGAGGCTCTTGCCAAGAGTTGGTGGCGGTAGTGGGGGGGGGGGGCGATGTTACCGCTGCTGATGCTACCGCTGTGAGATCCCAGTCGAGGGATTTTGCTGCAGGGGATTTCTCAGCACTGATTGGTGGGGGGGGGGGGGGGGAGGTCATGTGGGGGTTTTAGGGCGATAGCAGTTCCACTGTGGGAATGGGGTTGAGCTATAGCAGGAGGAGGAGAAACTGAAGAATCCAGAGTAAACCAATGCAGGACAAGTGGAGAGAGGGAGGGAGCACACCAACTGCACACACACAGAATCGGAGCCCTAATCGGGAATGGAACCCAGGCTCTTGTTGTTGCGAGGGCCAAAGTGTTGCCACCCAACACTGTCCACCCGAAATATGTCAACATATATATATAAAAAAGTTAAATATTCAAAAACACACATGCATGCTTTACACCGGACGATGGACTAACATGTGCAGAGACCCACCCAGTGACGTGGAGACATTGTCAAGGCGAGGGATGACATCACAAAGGCGTCCAGTGATGTCGTCTGAAACACGTGGCAGAGGGCACAAGTGCTTCTCATAGTGCAGCTGGAGCCATCAGGCACAGCCTGTAGTGGCCTCCCAGCAGGTGGGGTGGCAACAGTTGCTGTTGTGTGGGTCTAGCCTAGGGGCACCCCCAGTAGCAGCTGTCCCTGTGCATAGGTCACCGTTGTAACGCGGAATGTGCGCTATTATAACACAGTTTACGACCAGTCAGTGACGAACAACTTTCTTGAGCTACGCGGCTGAGCGGTACGGTGATACGGTACGTGGAATGATACGGTAACGCGGCGGCGTACCCTCAGTTATCTGTCCCACCATCTCACTACTTTGTGTGTGCATAGTAGCAATCGCAGTATGCCGTATCTCGCCAAACTTTATTGTCGTTAAATCAGTTATGGGAAATCCTTTTTTTGCAACGCGTTTTCCATTTAACGCAGAACTTTTTCAGGAACGGGTCTACTGCCAGCACTGCCACCCGGCGTGTTAGCGAGGACTGACTAAGTGCACTTGCCGGAGCGGCCCCTGCTGGGGATCGAGACGACATCTCGACCTTGTATCTCTTCTAACGACGCGGGGTGGGCGTGAGAAGGCGCGCTGAGTTACGCGCAACTCAACGCAACTCACGGAGCAACTCACGACGTGACTTGCAGACCCTTCACAGGGGGACATTCTCATCCGAGGTCACTGCTCCATTCTGAGAGACGTCCAATAATTAATCATTTGTGAGTACCGCGGGGGCAGTGTTGTGTGTTGTGGTTGGTATAACATACTCATTACTCCTTGTATTGTGGTTGGTATAGCGTAAATACTTTGTGAATTGGGGCCAGTATAGTATAATTAGTCTGTGTTATGGCTGAGAATATCGTAATTAGTCTGTGTGTTGTGGAAGATATAGCTTAATTACTTCGTGATTTGAGGCTAGTATAGCTGTGTGTTGTGGATAGTATAGCGTAATTACCTTGTGTGTTGGGGCTACAATAGTATACTTTGTGTGCAGTGGCTGATATATTGTAATTACTGTGTGTTGTTTCTGATTTATTGTATTACTCTTGTGTGTTGTGGCTTATGTATTGCAATTACTGTGTGTGCTGTGGTTGGTATTGCTTCATGACTCTGTGTGTTGTGGCTGGTACAGCATAATAACTCTGCGTTATGGCTGCTATAGGCGTGTGCTATGGCTAATACAGCACGATTACTCTTTGCGACGCGGTTGGTATGGTGAAACAGTCATGGTTGTCGCACGTGGTTGACATGTGTTGGACACGTGCCACGCACGTGTTGGACACGCGTTTGACGCGTGGTTGGCACGTGGTTGTCACGTGTCCGGACACGTGGTTAGACACGTGCCGACAAGTGGACACGTGGCCAGGCATGTGGGTGGGGCGAAATCCCGCGACCGTGCGAACTAATCGCGGCACGTGGCTCCGACGGCCGCCAGCGTCGCGCCCAGGCAGAGCGACACCCCAGCGCAGAGCAAACGCCCAGCGGAGCTGCCACCCTTGCCCACCGCGGTCGTGTACCCCGCATGCCCGCCTGACCACACGCCGTCACTGCCAACCGTCGTTTGAGCTCCTCCTGCTCCTCCTGCTGCTGCCTTGGTCGTGGTTTGAGCTCCCCCGCCTCCTCCTGCTGCCGCTGCCTTGGTCGTGGTTTTAGCTCCCCCGCCTCCTCCTGCTGCCGCTGCCTTGGTCGTGGTTTTAGCTCCCCCGCCTCCTCCTCCTGCTGCTGCCTTGGTCGTGGTTTTAGCTCCCCCGCCTCCTCCTGCTGCTGCCGCTGCCTTGGTCGTGGTTTGAGCTCCCCCGCCTCCTCCTGCTGCCGCTGCCTTGGTCGTGGTTTTAGCTCCCCCGCCTCCTCCTGCTGCTGCTGCCTTGGTCGTGGTTTTAGCTCCCCCGCCTCCTCCTCCTGCTGCTGCATTGGTCGTGGTTGGAGCTCCCCCGCCTCCTCCTCCTGCTGTTGCGTTGGCCGTGGTCTTTGCTGGGTTTCCATAACCTGGGCAAAAACACGTGCACACGCCGGCCCTCAGATTGGCTCCGAGCACCAAACAGTTCAGGAAACTCTGCAAGACTCATTTTTTCCTTTTAGCTTTTCCTTGAGTACGTCCTCTCATTTTTATATTTTGTGTCGTGATTTTATAGGTAGGAGGACTACCTTCGTTTAAGTTATACTGTAAAGTATTGCGATGCCCTCTTTAGTGGGAACGAGTTTATTTTTACTCAAAAAGTAAATTGAATTAATGAAAGATCCCCCGCCCCCCATGTAGCCTCAACCGACTGCTGGAGCAAGTGCAGTTAGTAGCGAGTAGCAGCAGCACCTGTTAAGGTAGACAGACAAAGGTCCCCCGTGTAGCCTCTAACACAATGTAGGGGCACGTGCAGTTAGTAGTGAGTAGCAGCAGCATCTGTGAAGATAGACACAGACAAAGGTCCCCCGTGTAGCCTCTAAAAGACTGCTGGGGCAAGTGCTGTTAGTAGCGAGTAGCAGCATCTATGAAGGTAGACACAGACAAAGATCCCCCGTGTAGCCTCTAACAGACTTCTGGGGCAAGTGCTCTGAGTAGCGAGTAGCAGCAGCACCTATGAAGGTAGACACAGACAAAGATCCCCCGTGTAGCCTCTAACAGACTGTAGGGGCTAGTGCTGTTAGTAGCGAGTAGCAGCAGCGCCTATGAAGGTAGACACAGACAAAGATCCCCCGTGTAGTAGAGGCCGACCGAAATTCGGTTTCGGCGCCGAAAGTTGGCAAATGGCCTCTTTCGGCATAGTTTCTGTTTCGGCCGAAGCCAAAAAGTAAACTTTCGGTTTACTTTCGGTTTCGGCCAAAAGTAAATTTTTAACTTTCAGTCTGGTAGCGTTTTCGGCCAAAACCAGAAATTCAGTTTCGGTCGGCCTCTACCGTGTCGTCTCTAAGAGACTGTTGGGGCAAGTGCTGTTAGTAGCGAGTAGCAGCAGCAGCGCCTATGAAGGGCGGCATGAGTGGCCAGCACCAAAGACAAAAGTCCCCTCGTGTAGCCTCGAATCGAATCCATGCACTTTTATGTTTTTAGATGTGAGGCACGCGGTGTTTTTGTGCGTGTGGACGGACCTGAGGGTTTGAGTGTTTGTGACGTCACATTGCCCTGCCATTCGTTGTACAGCTTCACGACGGTCGCTCTGCGGGGAGCGAAAGGCCCGGGTGAAGATTCAAGGGAGCAGGAGGGATCGAAGTCTCATTTGCAGGATTGAGTGAGTCAATGAGCGAGTGAGTGAGTGATTGAGTGGGTCAGTGATTGAGTGGGTGATTGAGTGAATGAGTGGTTGGCTACGTATGGTGCGAGATCAACATACATACATTTTAGTGACTGACTCACAGACACTAAGAGTAGGAGGCACTCTGTTTATTAACAGCCTTAACACTTAGTAACTACAGCTCCCAGTCAGGAACAGCTGGCAGACTGCCTGACTGACGACGCCGAGATGGTGAAGACGAAGATGGCGACGAAGACTCCAGCAGCACGACGAGGGGATCCCACTCCAAACGACAGCCCCGAGCTCTAGCTCAGCCCCCCCCCCTTTTATCCTCCCAGCGTAGCCTCGCTCCGGCCCAGCCACGCCCCCTCTCCGGAACCTACGAGCGGGTTCCCGGACTTCCCTCACGTGCCCCTTCTATAACCTTTCCCCTACATCTCTCTCTCTGGTCTATCACGTGACCTGCTGGGCTGCTGCAACTGCAGATGCTCTTCCCTGCCAGCAACAAGCGCTATGCTGCTAAGTGACCGATTCTATGTCAACACGCATTCATTAAGTGAGTGGGTGGGTGAATGACAGTGGACGAGTGAGTCAAGTTGATGTTGTGGTGTCACCAGCTGAGAAATCGAGTGATTGAGTGTGTGAGTGATTGAGTGAATAGGTGGGTGGGTGAATGAGTAATTGAGTGAGTGATTGAGTGAGTGTGTGGGCGAGTGATTAATTGATTGAGTGGGTTAATTCGTTATTGAGTGGGTGGGTGAGTACGCGAGTGTTTGATTGAGTGAGTGGGTGATTGAGTGAGTGGGTGAATAAGTTATTGAGTGGGTGAATGAGTTATTGAGTGAGTAATTTAGTGAGTGGGTGGGTGAGTGAGTGGGTGAGTGAGTGAATCCTGGGGTCTCTTGAGTTACCACCTCATCACACAACCATTGGTACTCGTAATGTAAAGAGAACAAACTATGGACATATATAAAGACATTAAATGCTCACATGAACTCTATGGAGGAAGGAGCATTTGAGCCCGGTGAATCCAATTAAAGACCAGGTCTCTCTTGGAGTCATTGGAGGTGTGAGTCATGGCGTCGTTTCTTGAGTTCGTGCACTGCAAGACGACACGGGGACATGGTGATATGGGGACATGCGGAGAAAGAGACACGGGTACATGGAGATACACAGGAACACGGGGACACGGAGACACGGGGACACGAAGATATGGAAATACACAGACACAGAGATACGGGAAAAAGGAAATACGGAGACACGGGGACACTGGGTCACGGAGACACGGGGACATGGAGACACGGGGGACACAGGGACACGGAGACACGGAGGACATGGAAATATGGGGACACAGGGACACGGAGACACGGGGACACGGAGACACGAGGACACAGAAATGCGGAGACACAGGGGACATAGAAATACGGGGACATGGGGACACGGAGACACGGGGACATGGGGACACGGGGAACACGGGGACACAGGGACACAGGGACACGGAGACATGGGGATATGGAGATACAAGGACACGGAGATATGCAGGTACTTGTACGTGTAGGTATACTTCTACATGTAGGTACTTGTAGGTATAGGTATACTAGTACCTGTAGGTACTTGTACGTGTAGGTATACTAGTACCTGTAGGTACTTGTACGTGTAGGTATACTAGTACCTGTAGGTACTTGTACATGTAGGTAGACTAGTACCTGTAGGTACTTGTACGTGTAGGTATACTAGTACCTGTAGGTGCTAGTACGTGTAGGTATATTAGTACCTGTAGGTACTTGTACATGTAGGTATACTTGTACCTGTAGATACCTGTAGATACTTGTACGTGTAGGTATACTTTTACCTGTAAGTACCTGTAGGTACTTGTACGTGTAGGTAGACTTGTACCTGTAGGTACCTGTAGGTACTTGTACGTGTAGGTATACTTGTACCTGTAGGTACCTGTAGATACTTGTACGTGTAGGTATACGTGTACCTGTAGGTACCTGTAGGTACTTGTACGTGTAGGTATACTTGTACCTGTAGGTACCTGTAGGTACTTGTACGTGTAGGTATACTTGTACCTGTAGGTACCTGTAGGTACTTGTACGTGTAGGTATACTTGTACCTGTAGGTACTTGGTGCCATTGGGTGGCGTGCCCCAGGTCCCCACGATGTTCGCCGTGCCGGTTTCGCGCGCCTGGAGCAGGAAACCCGTGAACTCGCCCTTGATGGTGACTACGGCGCAGGCGACATTCACTCAGACGGCGAACCATGCCACCATTCATGTTACCGTGCCACCAGTCATGTTACCGTGTCACCAGTCATGTTACTGTGCCACCATTCGTGTTACCGTGCCACCATTCATGTTACTGTGCCACCAGTCATGTTACCGTGCCACCAGTCATGTTACCGTGTCACCATTCGTGTTACCGTGCCACCAGTCATGTTACCGTGCCACCAGTCATGTTACCGTGCCACCAGTCATGTTACCGTGCCACCAGTCATGTTACCGTGCCACCATTCATGTTACCGTGCCACCAGTCATGTTACCGTGCCACCAGTCATGTTACCGTGCCACCATTCATGTTACCGTGCCACCAGTCATGTTACCGTGCCACCAGTCATGTTACCGTGTCACCAGTCATGTTACCGTGCCACCATTCATGTTACCGTGCCACCAGTCATGTTACTGTGCCACCAGTCATGTTACCATGCCACCAGTCATGTTACCGTGCCACCATTCGTGTTACCGTGCCACCAGTCATGTTACCGTGCCACCAGTCATGTTACCGTGCCACCAGTCATGTTACCATGCCACCAGTCATGTTACCGTGCCACCATTCGTGTTACCGTGCCACCAGTCATGTTACCGTGCCACCAGTCATGATACCCTGCCACCATTCATGTTAACGTGCCACCATTCATGTTACCGTGCCACCATTCATGTTACCGTGCCACCAGTCATGTTACCGTGCCACCAGTCATGTTACCGTGCCACCATTCGTGTTACCGTGCCACCAGTCATGTTACCGTGCCACCAGTCATGTTACCGTGCCACCAGTCACGTTACCGTGCCACCAGTCACGTTAACGTGCCACCATTCATGTTACCGTGCCACCAGTCATGTTACCGTGCCACCAGTCATGTTACCGTGCCACCAGTCATGTTACCGTGCCACCAGTCATGTTACCGTGCTGCCAGTCATGTTACCGTGCCACCAGTCATGTTACCGTGCCACCAGTCATGTTACCTCGCCACCATTCATGTTACCGTGCCACCAGTAATGTTACCTTGCCACCATTCATGTTACCGTGTCACCATTCATGTTACCGTGCCACCAGTCGTGTTACCGTGCCACCATTCGTGTTACCGTGCCACCAGTCGTGTTATGGTGCCACCAGTCATGTTACCGTGCCACCAGTCATGTTACCGTGTCACCAGTCATGTTACCGTGCCACCAGTCATGTTACCGTGCCACCAGTCATGTTACCGTGCCACCAGTCGTGTTACCGTGCCACCAGTCATGTTACCGTGCCACCAGTCATGTTACCAGTGCCACCAGTCGTGTTACCGTGCCACCAATCATGTTACCGTGCCACCATTCGTGTTACCGTGCCACCATTCATGTTACCGTGTCACCAGTCATGTTACCGTGCCACCAGTCATGTTACCGCGCCACCAGTCATGTTACTGTGCCACCAGTCATGTTACCGTGCCACCAGTCGTGTTACCGTGCCACCAGTCGTGTTACCATGCCACCAGTCATGTTACCGTGCCACCATTCATGTTACCATGCCACCAGTCATGTTATCGTGGCACCAGTCATGTTACCGTGCCACCAGTCATGTTACTGTGCCACCAGTCATGTTACCGTGCCACCAGTCATGTTACCGTGCCACCAGTCATGTTACCGTGCCACCAGTCATGTTACCGTGCCATCAGTCATGTTACCGTGCCACCAGTCATGTTACTGTGCCACCAGTCATGTTACTGTGCCACCAGTCATGTTACCGTGCCGACTAAGAAGGCCCCACGGAGCTGCTGTTTCGCTCTCATTTTCAGGCAAGCGACCTGGATATCACAAGTGATAGCGAATTGGCCTATGGGGCCGTCCATAAATGACGTCATGCGATTTTGGACGATTTTTTACCCCCACCCTTCGTCACATGACGTCACAAAAACTCAGACCCCCCTCAAATATGACGTCACAAAGCTCTGCCCCCCCCCCCCCCCCAAATAAAACAAGCTTCAAATCGCTCTAAACTATTGTCATTATAGTGCATATTTAATGTGGCGCTGCACTGACGTTGTAAGAGAAAACATTTATTAAAACGTCTATTTAATTAAGTAGAATATGTTGTCTATTTTTATTTAAAGTTGTGCATTTTTACGTGACGTCACATTTCTCAAACCCCCCCCCCCCTTCATCACACATCGTCACAAATGTCTGATCCCCCCCCCCCCCACCTAGGTGCGTGAGGTAATTTATGGACGGCCCCTATCACCATCACCATCGCGTGGAAATGTAAAGCAGTAGCCAAATACTCTAAACGCACGTTTCTAATTGTGGAGGCGAAAACCCAGAGAAAAATCCACGCGACCATGAGGACAGAGACGAATATAAAACAGGCATCGTCAGGGTCGGGATCGAACCCACGGCCTCCTGTATACAAGGAGAAGTAGTTAACATCTCGCCAACGGTAACGATCACCCTCGCAGTACAGGTAACGTCCGATCAGTCCAGGGAGCATGCACATTTAACATTGAAGTCTGAAGTCTATTGGATCCTTTGTATTAATGTATGAATGATGACCTTCTTCTTTGGTTCTTTCGGTAAAGTCACGTGACTTTACCGAAAGAACCAAAGAAGATTAATCCTTGCAGTCACGAAAGCTTTAAATCGAAATTTAATGATGACCTTCTTTCGCACCGTATGTAGCAACCCGTGCTAATCGGAGGTGCGAGGCGCAGGAGTAGGAGGAGTGTGGGAAAGATAATTGAGGTAGACACGTGATGGACCATTCAATGCTTGGAGGTTGGAGCACCACGACCCCCCTGCATACAAGGCGAGGGAGATAACATCTCGCTAATGCGCAAACAAATGTGTTACATCTGCTCGCTCACAGTACTTGCTCCAAACGTCTGTTAAGGCTAAGCGGGGGGTCGTTGTCTTTGTTGTGGCAAGATGTAAACTACCTCACCTGGTATACAGGGAGTCGTGGGTTAAATCCCGACCCGAACGCCTGCTGTCTATTTGGAGTTTGCATCTCTGTCCCTCCACATTTAGAAACACGCGTTTCGAGTAATTGGCTGCTATGCATTTGCACGTGATAAGCCACTACGTTGAGCGATCATTTGTGGCCAGGTCGCTTCTGAAAAAGAGCTACAGAGCTCAGTGGGCCTTACCTGGTAATATAAAACATTGTTTAGTTTAGTTGTAACAGAATTTCACATTGAAGGATCGTGACAGAATTTCACATTGGAGGATCGTGACAGAATTTCACATTGAAGGATCGTGACAGAATTTCACATTGGAGGAGAGTGACAGAATTTCACATTGGAGGATAGTGAGAGAATTTCACATTGGAGGATCGTGACAGAATTTCACATTGGAGGATCGTGACAGAATTTCACATTGGAGGATCGTGACAGAATTTCACATTGGAGGATAATGACAGAATTTCACATTAGAGTATCGTGGCAGAATTTCACATTGGAGGATAGTGACAGAATTTCACATTGGAGGATAGTGACAGAATTTCACATTGGAGGATAATGACAGAATTTCACATTGGATGATCGTTACAGAATTTCACATTGAAGGATCGTGACAGAATTTCACATTGGAGGATAGTGACAGAATTTCACGTTGAAATTGGCTTGAATGAGTGAATACATTAATAGGTGAATGAATGAGTGTGTGAGTAGGTGGGTGAATGAGTGGATAAGTGAGTGGATGAGTGAGTGAATGAGTGAGTCGAGAGGTGAGTGAATGAGTGGGATAAGTGAGTTGAGTGAGCGATTGAGTGTGGTGAACGCAAGTGCGGTGCTGAATGAGTTTGTCGCCCATGTCTCAGTGCGGGCCGAGTCGTCGTCGTGGTGTAGAGATAAGAATCGAGGAGTGCGCATCGAAGCGCAGTCGAGGGTTGCGCGACTCGTCCATCGACTCACCCTGCACGGCGGTGATGGCGTTGAAGGTGTGGTCGGCGGTGCTCACGGAGAACAGAGATTTATTGAAGTTGTTGGCGCCGTGCATCGGCGTCATCCCCACGCATTGATCTTTGGGAGCTCCCTCCGCGTAGCCCTCAACTCCGTCGAGCCGGATCAGGTGCGCGGAGAAGCAGAGAGCGAGGAGAGCCCTCATCGCGGCATGCGAAGGCAAAACTGACCAGCTGGCCAAGAGGGACCAGAGACACGGGGGTGGGGGGGGGACAGAGACTCAAAGAGAGACAGAGACACAGATTGATACACAGACAGATACACAGAGAGAGACACAGACAGATACAGAGAGAGATACGCAGACAGATACACAGATTGAGACACAGACAGATACACAGAGAGATATGCAGACAGATACACAGGGAGAGACACAGACAGATACACAGGGAGAGACACAGACAGATACACAAAGAGAGACACAGACAGATACACAGGGAGAGACACAAACTGATACATAGAGAGAGACACAGACAGATACACAGAGAGATACACAGACAGATACACAGAGAGAGACACAGACAGATACACAGGGAGAGACACAAACTGATACACAGAGAGATACACAGACAAATACAGAGAGAGAGACACAGACAGATACACAGGGAGAGACGCAGATTGATGCACAGACAGATATACAGAGAGAGACACAGACAAATACACAGACGGAGACACAGAGAGAGATACGGACGTATACACGGACAGACACACAGAGAGACAGGGATAGAGAAGGCAAAGCAGAGAGAGAAGAATAATTTATTCACAATTCTGGCTATCACCTGATGAGGCTGCTGGTAGTTGCTGTTGTAATCAACAGCGAAAACGTGACGGTACTCGAATTGTAAACATTGTGAGTTTACTCTCCAACACACAACCGGTTAGTGCTGAACTAGTAACTAATTGTGCAAGTTTTGTCTACTTGACAAACACTTGCTCATTGGCTGTGTCGGGTGGATGTGGCCGATTTAACGACATTTATATTTACGCGACATAACCCCCCAAAAGCCCTCTATTATGGTTAAATTTGGTCGCGAAAGCTCCACTACGTGTTAAACATAGAGAGGGAGAGAGAAAGTTCTGCCTCTGAGGTATGCGATGCTAAGTTGGACGCGCACACCTGAGATCAGAATCTTTGTCTTGAGTGGAGGAATCCGAAAAACTATTAAGCTCTTTTTTAAACACCGATGCCCAAGTAGCTGAATTAAAGATTTGGTATAAAGTAGAGGTTTATGTTTGTTTTTATTTGACTATATATACGCGAATGGTTCTTAAGCCAATGAATATCTTTTGAGAGAAAACAAATCTAAATCATCCGGATATAAATCTAATTTCAATTGAAAAAAACCCAACAGAGATGTAAGATTTATAGCTTAGGATTTAGCACAACAACAAAAACCTATACACCACAGAGTTATCGTGATGTCCCTTCCCTGTGGATGTGCCCACCGATCTCGATGCAACTCCAATATCCAAGGAGGGCAACAAGGAGGATGAGGAGTGCCTCTGAGAACGAATCTGTGGGCGATCCGCGGGGTGGAAGTGGAGGATGAGGGTGGTGGACTATTTATAGGACGGATGAGACAATGAACTCAATGTGGAGGTGTGGGGGAGGGTTGAGTTCCTTGTTGATTTCAGATAGCTATCGGGTGGGAAGGAGATACGAAAGGTGCGTGTGCGTGTAAACATGTCAGTCAACCCATTGCACCTGCTTGGGTTCAGTCCTGTGATCTCCTCCTTGCCAGGGGGCGTTCGACACTTCACGTGGCCTTGAAGTGCACCTGGCCTTTTCGATTTGAAGCTTTCGTGACTGCAAGGATTCATCTTCTTTGGTTCTTTCGGTAAAGTCACGTAGAATGAGAATAAAATAATAAAATAACACAGTAAAATTCTCACGACGTTTCGGTCACAAAGCAAGCGGCCGTCTTCAGGTGAAAGGTACAGAACTGAAGCTCTGTCGTCCCGACAGTTCTGTACCTTTCACATGAAGACGGCCGCTTGCGTTGTGGCCGAAACGTCGTGAGAATTTTATTGTGTTATTTTATTATTTTATTCTCATTCTACGTGACTTTACCGAAAGAACCAAAGAAGATGCACCTGGCCTGTTTGGGGAGTGGTGGCACAGCGGTTACCGCGCTTAGCCCTAACAAGCTGGTCGAGACTCCCCCTCCACTCCCCACCGGGTTTCCGATTCCTGCTGACGGCTGACGCCAGTGACGATTATCTGAACCGGTCCTGGGTCCCCCCCCGTGTCGACTTAGCCTCAAATTAGTACCTGATATGTTGTGTAGTAAACATCGGCAAAGGGGAGACAAAGGGGCCCCCGGGCAGGCGCGGTGCTGGCACCCCACCCCATTGTGAGTAGTTTCGGCCTTTATTAGGTGTATTCTTAAAGCAGTTGCTCCAACAGTCTCCGAAGGCTACACGGGATGGGGGGTCTTTGTCTTGTAAGGCTGTACGTGTGATATCTGTACGCGTGTGTTCGTGCACACACACAAAACAAGCCTCTACCTCATTTACACCATTGGAAACCTCATTTGCCAGTAACAAAATATGAATATTTTTTTTTACCTTTTTGTCTGGCAACAAAACTGACACCTGGTGGAAATGCTTACCCCGAGCTCTCATACTCTGGTGGTGCATTGTCTTTGAGTTGTGCGCCTTTTGGCGTCTTCTGGTCCAACACCATGTGAGACGAGGCTCTAAAGAAAGCTGTCTCGGGTGTGGACCAATCAATTTCAAGGACAGTGCATACATTATCAGAATTGTTGTTTTTTGTTTGCGTTCCGACCGCAGGTATTGTTGTCAATGTAAACATGGCTCCTTGTAAAAAAGGTGTCAGTTTTGTTGCCAGATAAAAGGGTAAAAAAACAATTATCAAGCCTCTACCTCCTCAGTGGTGCCGGACGGTAATTCTGTGATGAGCAGTGCCACGGGTGGAGGACCAATTTCAATTGGCCATTCCCCTCATGACGTTTGTAGCCACCACAGCGGCCAAATGGGGGCTCTGGACGGGTGTGAGGGGCTGGTAACCCCTCCCCCTTCAACGAAAGTACTGATAAACTACATGAAAGAAAATTAACTAAGCTTGTGCCGGACGCCCCAGGGGGACAGGCATCTATGACGTCTTCTGGCCAAAGCCCATTTGGTGGAGCCAGAAGACTGAACCTGAACCCTTGGGGTTCCTCCAGAAAGAGCATAAAGCCACTGAGAGTGGCCACGTGGAATGTTCAAATGCTCACTGTAGAGGAGAGGCTGCCGCTCCTCTGTCGGGAGCTGGACCGACCGCGCGCGACCGCCTGGATTTCTGCGGTATTCAAGTCTAGCGGACTAGGTCTGGCTCCAGTCACCATGAGGGGTGGACAGTCCTCTACTCGGGGCAGGATATTGCCAAATAACAGGGAGTGGCTCTTCTGAACAAAATAATGAAGGGGGCGTGGGAGCATGGCATTGAGGTGTGGGAAGCTGTTCATCCTAGGCCACTGTTGGCTCAACCAGAGGTGAGGAGTGGGGGTAGTGGTTACTTATGCCCCCACCGAAGATGAACATCAGTGGAGGCATCCAGGCACGGCTGATGAGTCAGATGTCGTCGAAGACCTCCTGTCACAGGTGCTAGAAAAAGTGGCCCCTCGGGATAGAGTCATCATTTTGGGTGACTTCAATGCCCAAGTGGGCCATGATGCTGGAACCTGGACTGGAGTGATTGGAAGGCATGGGCCAGATCAGCTCAATATGAATGGTAGGATGCTGCTAGACTTGTGCAGCCCATGGGCTTGTAATTACCAACATGCTTTTCTGGCATCGGCACATACACACAACATCATGGATGCACGTCAGGTACAAGCAAGAACTGGACTATATATAATGATGGAACAGCAGATGTAGGCCCATGTCATTAACACCAGGACCTACCGTGGAGCTGATCTTCTCACTGACCATTGGCTTGTAATTTGAAAGATGCGCCTGCTATTATTTTACTCCAGTGGTGGGTGTACATCTAGGACCCCATTCAAACCCACAATGGCCTGGTCTCAGATAGCTGATGAAAGTTGCAAGCGAGAATTTCATCATTGCTTGCGGCTCGGGTTGGCATCGTTCCCCTCTCCTGATGCCTAGGGGAAATGAGTGAGGTTTAGGATAGTAGCTCATGCAGCTGCAATGGCTGCTTTGGGTTTACGGTCCGAATCTCCCCCGAGACCCTGGTTGACGGAGCAGGTGTTCCAACTGGCTGAGAAAAAGCGACAGGCCCACTGCCATCATCTACAACATACTACGTCAGAGAATGAGGAGGCTTACCACAGCATTCGCTCGGAGTTTCACAGAGCCGTCCGGCACTGCAAGGATGGGTGGTGGTTGCGGGCTGCTGAGGAGTTGAAATCTGCTCATTAGCCCGCGATCACAAATCACTGCGTTAACTCCATCAAAAGAGTAACTTGTAGTGGTCACACCTATCACCATCATTAGGGGAATAATGGTGATCCGATCTCTGACCCCAGGAAGAGGTTTGCAGATTTTCTGATCATTTCTGTGAGGTCTTGGGGGAGGGGAAATCCCTCAGCCTCGAAAACATCATGGGGAAAAGTGGGGATGACCTTGCTGAAGCTGCGGTGCCTCAAATATTGGAAGAAGTCACCTCCTGTGAGTAGCTGGCTGAGGTGCCATCTGTTGAGGAAGTACAAAAGGCGATCCAGAGTCTGAGACCAGGGAAAGCGCCGGGCAGAGATGATCTCCCAAGTGAAATGCTAAGGGAGGGTGGCGTTTGTGCACAGACTGCCCTACATGACATCATAACAAACAGTCTGGACCACTGAACTGGTTTCCGTAGGATTGGAAGAATGCCTTGGTGGTCCCCCTCTGTAAGAAGGGGACTGCACAGATTATAACAACTACAGGGGGCATCTCCCTCCTCAGGTCTTGGCAAAGATTATTCAACATCGCCTTGCCAGGCAAGCTGAGGAGATGATTTCGGAGCCCCAATGTGGTTTCAGGCCAGGGCGGTCTTGCACAGATCCCATATTTTCTCTCTATCTGCTACAGAAGACGTGTAGGGAATTCCAACAGTACCTACTTCTCTGCTTTATTGACCTGGTCAAGGCCTATGTTACCATCAATAGGGCTGGGTTGCTCTTCCTGCTTTCAGAGTCCGTGACTCTCTGCTCACAATCATTAAAGATCTTCATCATGATGGGCAGGCCTGGGTAAAACTACATGGCTCAGAGTTGGAGCTATTCCCTGTTCACCTTGGGTGCAACAGGGATATCCTCTGGCTCCCACATTATTTAACATCTTTTTTTTACCACATAGTTCGTGAAGCCTTCTATGACTGTAGTGGAGGAATCTCCATCTGGTACAGATATAATGGAAGGCTGATCAAGGGATGGCTCCCTATTGGTCAACCATGTTACGTATGGTGATGATCTGGTCATTGTTGCTCACTCAGTGGAGGAGTCGGAGGCACTGCTGCTGAACTTGGAGTGTGCCACTAAGAGGTGGGGCCTTACCATCAGCCCAACTAAAACCAAGCACATCCCTGGGAATGTTGTACAATCAGACACTCTACCCCTTCAATTCCCCATTGGCGATGGGGTAGTTGTGAAGAAAGTGTAGAGTTTTCTATACCTGGGCAGTGTGCTCATGACTGGCTCCACGTTGACAGCAGCGGTCTCACTCCCAGTCAATCGAGTAGCATTAACTGGTCTGTCACTCCACACAAAGCTTTGGGTCTTCTTGGCCATGGTCATGCCCTCCCTTCTCTATCCAAAAACAAACTAACACAAAACGCAATGAGTTTGTCAATCTAGACCAGTGGTTCTTAACCCTTACAGCAGCCTTGTACCCCTTTGCTTCTCAGAAAGGGCATCTTGCTCCCGAGGGGGTGCGTGCACCCCAGTTTAAGAACCACTGATCCCCGAAGGAAGAGCGTTCCAGACGGCCACAGAAGCAACGCATCTGAAAGCACCACGCGATATGTATATGTGTATATATAGTATATATAAACCATCCATCGTGTGTTAAGCCAACATAGCCGCACCTCCAATGGGCATGGTTGGCTACGTTCGGTGCTACGCATGTTCGACACACACACGGTACACAAGCAATAGCGGGGGACATCTGACCCTCTAAAGTAAACGGCAAACAGACATTGCGGGCCCCCTCCTTACTGACCATGTTTTGATCTCACAATCTTCTCTCTCGCCCCAGAGCGACCCACTCCATTGTTTTGCGACGGAGTTTACCGGCTAGACGCGCACAGCAAACAACACGCCTAGCGTGGTGAAGGGAAAACTCGGGGGTTGAGATGAACATCGCGCTCACGTCAACTTCGCTTGGTGCATACGCGCCAAACACTAAAAAGCACAACCACACCCCGGGAACTCGCGGTAAACATGGAAAGATTGGGGCCCAACGTTGGTCCAATGTTGGCACAACGTTGGGACCTAACGTGACACCAACGTTGGGCCAACATTATACAAAAGTTAAGCCATGTTGGGCCAAAGTTTGCCACAACATTGGAGCAACGTTGTAAGATGGGTCTCTGATGTCCAAAATAGAGAAGCAAGAGGCACGAATGAAGGGGACATCTTAAGATGAAGAAATTAAATGTAAAATGATTACGCTTGTTCTAAAATAAAAAAAGTGTATAATTTGCGACAAACTCAACCATTCAGGCTAATTTGTAAAAGAATAAAGTTTTACCATCAGGCAGTCTGCCGAAACAATAATAACAATAATTATGATTTATAATGACACTAC